AAATTTTATATTACATGTAATATTACTAATAATATTACAATATAATGGTGTAGTACAATATAGTAATATAGAATACTGATATTGTACTATGCTAATAATATAATATATTATATGTATATATATCTTATAAGCCGCTCTGAGTCCCCTTCAGGGTGAAAAGGGCGGCATATAAATGTCATAAATAAATAAATAAAAATAAATGTGTTTAAGATTGAAGATATTCAGGGAGTGTGCCATTTTCCATGTTTACCTTTTCCACCTTGATGATTTGGCATGATAATCTGCTAATAGTTCCACATTCCTATTAGGTTGGTTGCTGTCACCGAGGGGATTTGCTTAAGAGCAAGCAGTTCCTGAAGTGTTGCAACAAGTTGCATATTTGAGTTTGCCAGATTTGCTTGAGACTGTAGGTGTTTAGAAAAGTATTTTTGTGAAAGGGCATGAGGCTGTCAGGAAGGGTGGGAGTTGGGAGTCCAAAACACATGAAGGGCCCAAATTGGCCCAGCCATGAGCTATCTCAGCTTACTAATTTGCATATGGTTTCTGATTGGCCAGCCTCAACATTCTAACATTTTTAAGTGGCTGAGGGGGGAAAAGGATGGGGCCTGATGCTGTTAGAAATGGTGGGAGTTGGAGTCCAAAACACCTGCAGGACCCAAGTTAGCCCATGCTTGAGCTATCTCGACCTACTCATTTGCATATGGTTTCTGATTGGCCAGGCTCAACATTGTGGCTGAGGGGGGGAAAGGAAGGAGCCTGGGGCTGTCAGGAATAGTGGGAGCTGGAGTCCAAAACACCTGCAGGGCCCAAGTTAGCCCATGCTTGAGCTATCCCGACCTACTAATTTGCACATGGCTTCTGATTGGCCAGCCTCAACATTCCAACATTCTTAAGTGGCTGAGGGGGGAAAGGAAGGGGCCTGAGGCTGTCAGGAATGGTGGGAGTTGGAGTCCAAAACACTTGCAGGGCCCAAGCTGGCCCATGTGTGAGCTATCTCGACCTACTAATTTGCATATGGTCTCTGATTGGCCAGCCTCAACATTCTAACATTCCTAAGGCTGTTAGGAATGCTTGGAGTTGGGAGTCCAAAACACCTGCAGGGTTCAAGTTAGCCCATACTTGAGCTTTCTCGACCTACTAATTTGCATATGGTTTCTGATTGGCCATCCTTAACATTCTACACGTGTATTTGTAGACAAGGGCCCATCATACATCCTTATTCTTTTTTGTTATTTTTGTTAGTGAGAGATCTCCCCTCCTTAAGGAAGAGAAGCCCCCCGGGACTTACCAGGAGGCGTACACGCGTCTGCCACGTACACACATGACCCGCGACACGCTCCCTATCCCGTAGGAAGCGCGTCATCTATAGGAAGCGCGTTATCCTTTGGCAACCTCCGGCATCCCCCACCTCTTCCGGAACATCCTCATAATAAAGACCCCGCGAATGCTGTTGTTTTTCCACCCCTGAATTAAAGGCAGTGGAGCAGAGAAAGAGGCAGGGCGGGAAGAAGAGGAAAAGGAGGAAAAACCCGCTTCGTTTGCATGTTTATTTACGGGTTGCGGGAGGGAAAGAAAGAAAGAAGGGAGGAGAGGGGAAAAAGAGAGAGAAGGGAGCAAGGGCAGGCGCGGCTGCAAAGCGAGCCCGGATTCAAAGCAGAGGCGAAGACCACGTGACGCGGTTCCTGGAAAGTTCTTGGAAAGCGGCCTTTGGCGCTTCTGCCATTCGAGGCAAGGCGGGCGCAGGAAGGAAGACGCGGCTGGGACGGAACAAAACGGACGGGATCCCGGTGAATAGGGACACTTTCCAGCTCGCCCCCGGGGCCACCTTTCAAGGAAAATGCCCCCGCCACTTCTGGGCATCCTTGGCCTAAGAAAACCCCGAGAAATGCGCAGGCACGCCTTGAATCTGCAGGAGACTCCAAGGCGCACAGATGAATGCATTCTGATCCCATTCACCCATTGTGTAAGGCTGTGGGATCCTTGGGAGTTGTAGTTTTACTAGTCCCTAATCTTCTCAGCCTGGTTTCTCTTAGAAATGAAAAACCCGGGATCCTGACAGACTTGAGCAATTCAATACAGCATCCCCCTCTCCCCATTACACTTCATCACCCTAGAGAATGAATCCACTTTAAATCCGGTTTCTGCCTCCTGCAGAATTCACACACACAAGCTTTGGATAGATAGATAGATAGATAGATAGATAGATAGATAGATAGATAGATAGATAGATAGATAGATAGATAGACATAGAAAGACAGACAGACACACACACACACACACACACTTAATACAGGGGAGTTAACCCTTCCCTATTTTGTGTGTGTGAATACACACACACAAGCTTTGGGTAGGTAGGTAGGTAGGTAGGTAGGTAGGTAGGTAGGTAGGTAGGTAGGTAGATAGATAGATAGATAGATAGATAGATAGATAGATAGATAGATAGATCTGGAGCTACACTTAATACAGAGGTGCTAACCCTTCCCTATTGTGTGTGTGTGAATACACACACAAACTTTGGGTAGATAGATAGATAGATAGATCTGGAGCTACACTTAATACAGGGGTGTTAACCCTTCCCTGTGCTATCCATAGCTTGTGTGTGTGTGTGAATACACACACACAAGCTTTGGACAGACAGACAGACAGACAGACAGACAGATAGATAGATCTGGAGCTACACTTAATACAGGGGTATTAACCCTTTCCTATGCTATCCAAAGCTTTTGTGAGTGTGTATACACATACACAAACATACACACAAGCTTTGGGTAGATAGATCTGGAGCTGCACTTAATACAGGAGTGTTAACCCTTCCCTGTGCTATCCAAATCTTGTGTGTGCATATATATGTATGTGTATGCACACACACATATTTACACACACACACACAAGCTTTGGATAGATAGATAGATAGATAGATAGATAGATAGATAGATAGATAGATAGATAGATAGACGGATAGATCTGGTGCTAAACTTAATACAGGGGTGTTATCTCTTCCCTATGCTATCCAAAGCTTGTGTATGTGTGTGTATACACACACACACACACACACAAGCTTTGGGTATATAGATGGATAAATAGATCTGGAACTACACTTAACCCTTCCCTATGCTTTCCAAAGCTTGTATGTGTGTGCATATGTGTGTAAGCTTTGGAGAGAGAGAGATATCTATATATATGACTGGAGTTACACTTAATACAGGGGAATTAACCCATATGCTATCCAAAGCTTATATATTTGACTGGCGTTATACTTTAAAAATATACCTGTTCCAATTTACACACAAATTTAACTCAAGAACAAACCTACAGAACCCATTTTGTTTGTAAAGTGGGGACCACCTGTATTCAGATCTTTTCAAACTCTGGGTTGTTGTAAGTTTTTCGGGCAGTATGGCCATGTTCCAGGAGCATTCTCTCCTGACGTTTTGCCCACATCTGTAGCAGGCATCCTCAGAGATTGTGAGGTCTGTTGGAAACTAGGCAAGTGGAATTTCTATATCGGTGGAATGTCCAGGGTGGGAGAAAGGACTCTTGTGGGAGAAAGGACTGCTTGAGGCAAGTGTGAATGTTGCAATTTATCACCTTGATTGCTTCCTGCCTGGGGGAATCCTTTGTTGGGAGGTGTTAGCTGGTCCTGGCAGTTTTCATCTGGAATTCCCCTGTTTTTTTAGTGTTGCTTTTTTATTCACTGTCCTGATTTAGAGTTTTTAATACTGGTATCCAGATTTTGTTCGTTTTCATGTTTTCCTCCTTTCCGTTGAAATTGTCTACATGCTTGTGGATTTAAGTGGCTTCTCTGTGTAGTCTGACATGGTGGTTGTTAGAGTGATCCAGCATTTCTGTGTTCTCAAATAACATGCTGTGTCCAGGTTGGTTCATCAAGTGCTCTGTTATGGCTGACTTCTCAGGTTGAATTAGTCTGCAGTGCCTTTCCAAACTCATTTCATTTGGTGACACTCTTTTTAGACATGTGTCATTTCGTGACAGTAATACAGTTTTATTAGCAAACCAGAGGTTAAGCCAACCCATTATGAGAGGTACATCGATTGGGTTGCTGTAAGTTTTTCAGGCTGTATGGCCATGTTCTTTCCTAACGTTTCACCCACATCTATGGCAGCTATCTTCACACTTATGGCTGTGAGGTTTCTTTGTTGTTGTTGTTATATGGCAATGTAGAACTAGCAATGGGATCTGTAGTCTTACAAAGGCCTTGATTTAGCCTTCTCTGTTAAATTGAGGGCTGGTGTCTTGCCACACCATAAATCCCAAGATTCATGAGAAACTGCAAGTTGCTTCTGGTGTGAGAGAATTGGCCATCTACAAGGATGTTGCACAGGGGATGCCCGAATGTTTTTGATGTTTTTAGCCACCCTTGTGGAAAGCTTCTCTCATGTCCCTGAATGGGGAGCTGGAGCTGACAGAGGGAGCTCATCTGTGCTCTTCCCAGATTTGGATGATGCCCAGGGGATGCCTGGATGTTTTGATGTTTTTACCATCCTTGTGGGAAGCTTCTCTCATGTCCCTGAATGGGAAGCTGGAGCTGACAGAAGGAGCTCATCCATGTTCTCCCCAGATTCGTACAATGCCCAGGCGATACCTGGATGTTTGGATGTTTTTATCATCCTTATGGGGGGCTTCTCTCATGTCCCTGCATGGGGAGCTGGAGCTGACAGAGGGAGCTCATCCACACTCTCCTCTCCCTAGATTCGGACGATGCCCAGGTGAGGCCTGGATGTTTGGATGTTTTTACCATCCTTGTGGGAGGCTTCTTTCATGTCCCCGCATGGGGAGTTGGAGCTGACAGAGGGAGCTCATGGGAAGCTGGAGCTGACAGAGGGAGCTCATCCGCGCGCTCTCCGGATTCGAACCTGCAAACTGTCGGTCTTCAGTCCTGCCGGCACAAGGTGTTCAACCCATTGCGCCACGAGGGGCTTCTAGCAGATGAGGTGGCACCCAACTGCATCCATCCTACGGTGGACAAAGCAACCTGATCCAACCATTTCCCCGCCTTTCCTTTTGTTTCCTTTTTCCCTTTTATTCCCTTCCCTCTTCTTGGAAGAGGTTTTCCAAGGAAAGCGTTATCTCTCCAGGAAATAGGGATGCTCCTCGCTTGGGGAAGGTGAGTGCGCCCTTCAGGAGAAAGAAAGAGAAACAGAGCGAGGGAGCGCTCCAGCCAGCATCTCTTTGGCAAAAGGCAGGGGAAAGGAGCGCGCCTCTTAAAGGGGCCGCCTCCTCTTTCCTCCTCCTCCTCCTCCTCCTCCTCCGCCTCCCACTGCGCTCGCCCCCGCGCCTGGTTTCCTCGACAGCAGCCGCCCTTCAAGCCGCTTAGATTGAAAGCCAAGCAAAGGAGAGAAGAGGAGAAAAAGGGGCAGCAGGGTGGGATAGAAGAGGAGGAGGAGGAAGACAGCGGCATTCCTCCTCTCTCTCTATCCTCTGTCTCTCTTCGAATCCTTTGCCCAGGATGCGCTCCAAGTGCAGAGGAATCCGGCCGGGACTTTGAGGGCTTCTCTCTGCGGGAGGCTTCTCTTCCTCTTCTTCTTCCTCATGCTGCCCCTTCCCCGCCCCTCCCTCCTCCACCGTGGCTGGTTGGTGGTTGCCCCCAAATGACCCTGCGCTCGGAGGAGACCTCGGATGGCGGCGGAGAAGAGGAGGCGGAGCGCCTGGACTCAGCTATGCGGGAATTGCGGCGCGCGGGTAAGGGGGCTTTGCATGCTTGGGGTCGCTTTGCAATGGGGGTAACACAGTAGGGGTCAAAGGCTGGGGAAAGGATGCACTGGGCAAGGTCTTTCCCCCCTTTTTTGCTCGTGGAAGCGCACGAGCAAAACAAAGTGCGCTTGGCTTTGTTTTGTTTGTGCGCTTCCTCTATTGTGTCCAAACCTTGCTGGAATCCTTCTCTATCAAACTTATTGGTCAACACAAATATATACCCAACTGCAAGTCCAACTCTTGTAGAGTCATCTCTTCTGAGTTAACTAAAAGTTTCATTGGCACTTACATTTCAAATCAATGAATGTTGTGAGTTTTCCGGGCTGTATAGCCATTCTCTCCTGACGTTTCGCCTGCATCTACGTACGGCAGGCACCCTCAGAGGTTGGGAGGTCGGTTGGAAACCTGGAAAACTCACAACAAACCCATGACAATCCATTTTGACCTTGCTACCTAGCCTTCACTTCCAACTGCTGCACTTCCTTCCAGACCCAATCTCTTTGTTTATATTCCTAGATCATAATGTTAAGGCTTCCTGGAGCATTAATATTCTTCATGTGTTGTCGAAGGCTTTCACAGCCAGGAATCACTGGGTGGTTGTGAGTTTTCCCAGGCTTTATGGCCATTACAATGCATGTTTACCTTGCTCCCTAGCCCTTACTCCCAACTGCTACACTTCCTTCCAGATCAATCTCCTTGTTTATATTCCTAGATCATAATACTAATGTATGGAGCACTGACATTCTCTCCTGAAGCATTTTCTCCTGAAATTTCGCCTGCATCTACGGCAGGCATCCTCAGAGGTTGGAAGGTCAGTTAGAAACCTGGAAAACTCACAGCAAACCCATGAAGGCTTTTGACAATACATGTTTACCATGCTATCAAGTCCTCACTTCCAACTGCTGCACTTCTTTCTAGACCCAATCTCCTTGTTTATATTCCTAGATCATAGTATTAACGCATTATTGAGGACTGACATTCCTTATGAGTTGTCAAAGGCTTTCATGGCCAGGAATCAATCGATGGTTGTGAGTTTTTCCCGGGCTGTATGGCCATGACAGTCAATGCTGACCTTGCAACCTAGCCCTCACTTACAAATACTGCACTTCCTTCCAGACTAATGTTTTTGTTTATATTCCTAAATCATAATGTTAAGGCATTATGAAGCATTAACATGCTTCATGTGTTGTCAAAGGCTTTCGTGGCCAGGAATCACTGGGTGGTTGTGAATTTTCCAGGCTGTCTGGCCATGTCCCCGACACATTCTCCTCTTACGTTTCACCTGCATCTATGGCAGGCAACCTCAGAGATTATGGGGTCTGTTGGAAACTAGGAAAGTGGGGTATTCTATATCTATGGAATGTCCCAGGTGGGAGAAAGGACTCTTGTCTTTTTGAGGTAGATGTGAATGTTGCAATTGGCCACGTTGATTAGCACTGAATGGTCTTGCAGCTTCAAGGTCTGGCTGATTCCTGCCTGGAGGAATCCTTTGTCGGGAGGTGATTAGCTGCCCTGATTGTTTCCTGTCTGGAATTTCCCTGTTGTTTGAGTGCTGCTTTTTATTTACTGTCCTGATTTTAAAGGTTTTTTTTTTTAATACTGGTATATTTTTATAGAATCATCTCTGTATTTAATTATTTATCTATTGTGTCCAGAAGCAAACCAAGGGTAGACTTGTAATGTATTTAAAAACACAAACATTTTTTTAAAATGTCATTATACTAAATGTTCTTTGACCACTTGGAGTGCTTCTGGTGTTGCTATAAGAAGGTCGTCCCTTGTGCATGTGGCAGGACTCAAACTGCATTGTATTAGGTGGTCTGTGGTTTGCTCTTCTCCACACTCGCACATTGTGGACTCCACTTTGTGACCCTATTTCTTAAGGTTGGCTCTCTGTAGAATTATAGAACCCACCAAACTTTGAGGCCGAGAGTTCCACTACTGAACAACTCTTACAGTTAGGAAGTTCTTCCTCAATGTTCAGGTGGAAACTCCTTTCCTGTAGTTTGAAGCCATTGTTCCTCGTCCTAATTGCCAGGGCAGCAGAAAACAAGCCTGCTCCCTCCTCCCTATGACTTCTGCCTCACCAAACTGCAAATCCCATGATTCCATAGCATCAATCCCTGAAGCGTGGTAGAGGCTCCTTCTTTGGAAGCTTTTAAACAGAGGCTGGATGGCCATTTGTCAAGGGTGCTTTGAATGCGATTTTCCTGCTTCTTGGCAGGGGATTGGACTGGATGGCCCACGAGGTCTCTTCCAATTTTATGATTCTATGAATTTTGACTGTCATAGAGCAATCGAATCATGGGAGTTGCAGTTTCACAAGGTCTTAAGCCTTTTCTGATGCCTCACCGAACTACAAATCCCATGATTCCGTAACATTGAGCCGTGGCAGTTAAAGTGGTGTCCGACTGCATTTATTCTAAAGTGCACATGCAGCTAAAGTTACTAATCAATGTGTTTTAAGATTGAGGTGTTAATGGTCTTGATCTTGGATATTCAGAGTGTGTGCCATTTCCTATGGTTACCGTTTTCATCTTGATGGTTTGGCAAGATAACAACTCTCACAGTTAGGAAGTTCTTCCTAATATTCAGATGGAATCTCCTTTCCTGTACTGTAGTTTGAAGCCATTGTTCCGCGTCCTAGTCTCCAGGGCAGCACAAAACAAGCTTGCTCCCTCCTCCCTATGACTTCCCCTCACAATATTTATATATTTATACATGTGTCCTTTCAGCTTTCTCTTTTGCAGGCTAAACATGACTAGCTCTTTAAGCCGCTCCTCATAGGGCTTGTTCCCTAGAGCCTTGATTATTTTAGTCGCCCTCCTCTGGACACATTCCAGGTGCCCAGAAAGGAGATGTAGACATGTTTTTTTAAAAAAAATTCTAAGTCATTTTGTTTTCCTTCCTCTCCCAGGTTGGTATTGGGGCAACATGAGTGTCGCCGAAGCCAAAGAGAGACTGCAAGAAACCTCCGAAGGGACTTTCTTGCTCAGGGACAGTTCTCACTCCGAATACCTGCTCACAATTTCAGTGAAAACATCAGCAGGGCCCACCAACCTGCGCATTGAGTTTCAGGACGGCAAGTTCAGATTGGATTCTATCATCTGTGTTCGGTCGAGGCTTCGGCAGTTTGACAGCGTGGTCCACCTGATTGAGTATTACGTCCTGATGTGCAAGGACAGGAGCGCGGTTTCTGAAATGCCTTCCAACGGATTGGTTCACCTTTACCTGAATAAACCCCTCTATCATTCGGCTCCGTCTCTACAACATCATTGTAGAGTCATGATAAACAGGTGCACAAATCAAATCCAGGAGCTTCCTCTCCCGACGAGACTGAAGGAATTCTTGAAGGAATATCGGTATCGGGTATAAAATATGCCACCTACTCTGCCTCATTTTTTAATTCTGAATACAACTGCATGAAAATGATAATCTTTTGCACTCAGCTACATAAGATAGCGTGTAGGTCGCTGAAGGATAAAATAAATCGGGCAAATGGGTTTAATGATCCACTGTCAAAACTGGGACAGACGAGATAGTTTTCTTCCTCAGTTGCCCACACCTAAACTTCACTTTGAGAAAATTGCCTTTGAGGGGACAGCAGATGCAGGCAAGTAAAAAATGGGCTGGTAAAAAGAAATTAGTCACTCTCTTTATCTATCTACTCCATTTTCTTTTGTATTTGTTTTACATGTGGACCCACTTCTAAAATCTGAATTTACTATACATAGTTTATTTACAGAGAACCAAAATAATGTCTTGCTATATTATGCAAGATTCATGTCAAAATGGAATGTGTGAATTGTGCCTGCCTTTACCTTAATATGACTTGTTATTTTATTAATTTAGACCATTTATACACTCTACCCTTCAGCCATAAAGAGCTGATAGAGTGGGTTACAAATTGTTAATTTTTAAATTCTATCCCTTAGTTTGAGCCCATGGTGGTGCAGCAGATTAAACTGCTGAGCTGCTGAACCAAAAGGTTGGCAGTTCTAATCCAGGGAGAGGGGCGAGCTCCCACTGTTAGCCCTAGCTTCTGTCCACCTAGCAGCTCAAAAACATGCATGAGTAGATCAATAGGTACTGCTTCTGCGGGAAGGTAATGGCCGCTCCATGCAGTCATGCTGGCCACATGATCTTGGAGGTGTCTATGGACAATGCTGTCTCTTTGGCTTAGAAATGGAGAACTACCCTTCAGAGTTGGACATGACTAGATTTAATGCCAAGGGGAAACCTTTACTTTACCTTAATATGATTTGTTCTTTTATTCATTTAGGCCATTTATATACCCTGCCCTTCAGCCATAAAAAGCTGCCAGAGTGTGTTACAGATTGTTAATTTGACAGTTCTCTTAGTTGACAATCTTAAAAAGACAGCAACATGAGGGAAAGGGGGCGGCAGTGTGGGAGAGGAGGAAATCCACCAAATGCAAAGGGAGAGTCTTTCTTCAATGAGCGCATGACAAAAGTTTTTAGGTGTTATCTAAACTATGTTGATGGGCTTTGTATGACTGAATTGACAGTAGCTGCCACAATAGCGACTGGTATACATTTTCTTGGAAAAGATTCACAATATTGTAGTTTGAGTGCTGTGTCCTCACACCAGAAAGGATTAAGGTGGCAGTACACATTGTGATCCCATGCAACAAACTACTAATGGCTCTTTAAACTTTTTCATAAAGACCCTTCAGGAACAGGGATGGTTGGCAATACAATTCCAGTTCATATTAAATACTACCTTAGAGGTTGGTGGGAACTAGTTCTATAGAGATAGACTCGCTAAAATCTAATTTAATATTAACTCAAATGCTCCCTGTGATGTATTCTTGCAATCTTTAATTTACACATTAGGTTAATAAATTGCTCATTTTTATTTATGACCCAATGTTATGGTTCATAGAAAACAGAGGACACTTAAAAAATCACAAGGAAATAATGTCAAAAATATTTTTTTAAGCTGATCCTAATGCTCTGCTCCACTTGTGAACAATCTATTAATTCTGCAGATCAAACCTATTCACTTTTACTCAAAAGTAGTTGTGCTTAAGGCCCCATTTGGACAGTCCGGGTACAGACTTGTCAGCTGATGTATTCTGAATCAAATTATGAGACTACTAACTACACTGAATTAAATCTAATGAATTATGCGTACGTGGTGTTGAACTACAGCGATCTTTCTTTGCAGAGGAGCTGTATAATGTATAGTAATCTAGTTAAAAGAAAACTTATATAACTTTGAAGTCGGGTGGAATAGGCAAATATTTTACTCTTTTATGAGGACCCTGTGCATGCATTAGGATAGCATTGCTAGATTTTAATTGGTGTGAAAAGCCACTCTTTTTGTTATAGATCCATTTATTGCCTATAATAGGCCTCCTTTGAATGAGGCTTTATAAATGCCTAGACTGCAACGTTGCAGTTGTGGTTTCCATGGCTAAACATGGAAAGCAGCAATTATGACTACCTTCTACAGTGTAGAATTTTTTTATTCTTATTTCCTTGAAATGCAAATGAGTTTGCCTGTTCTAAATATTGTTTGAGGCTGTAACTGTCTGATTTCAGATTGTATTCAATAAAGTAAATTGCAGAGGCTCTATGTCCTTGATGTACTTTGTGTATGAAGAGGGACTTTTTGTGGTTTTAAAAAGAACCTCTTGGTTTACTTCACTGCTTGCCTTCCTTTGTGTTGAAAAATACTTGATAATGACAGAAGTGTTTTTCACAATACATATATTCCTGCTTGAACATGGAAACCTACTGCTTGACCTCAGACAGGTCACACTCTCAACCTCAGAGGAAAGTAATGGCAAACCCCTCTGAACAAATCTTGCCTAGAGAACCTGTGAGAGACACACCACAGATTGAAAACAACGTAAAGGGACACAAGTATTCATTCTACACCAGTGGTTCTCAACCTTTTTTTTTTTTTTTTGACCAGGGACCACTCTCCAACATTTGTACCAAAAGGGTTACAAATCAGTTTTGGTCAACTTTAGATTCTGTTTGGTTATTTGGGGTGCTGATTAAGAAAACTGCATTAGATAAACCACATGAGCTCTAGTTTCTGATACAGAACATATGTCATCCAGTAGCTGCCATCTACTTGCCCACAGAAAACCGTATTTAATAATCTAGAGCTGATGTGGAAGTAGTAATCTTTCATGGGTAGTCAGCCTCTCCCCTCCCAACAGCCCTGCTGCCCCAGCACCATAAAAGGGTTTCACGGAACCAGTCACTCTCATTGCCACGTGGTTTCGAGGCAATGGTATAGTAATGGTGAGGCCGCAAATTAATTTGTTCCACAAATTACTTGGGACATCTGATGCCATAATTGAAAAGATGGTTCATCTTAAGATAAGCCCTGCTTATCAAACTAGTGGCCCATCTATTCCAATATTATGTTTCTCACAGTGACTAATCAGGGATCACTAGAAAGTCCACAGATTGGCTATGATCCTTTATTAGCAACCGATATGCAGTGCGGCATATTGTCTCCAAATTAAAAAATTCCAAATACTTGTCATGATAATTAGTCTGTAAGTTTATACTCCATAAATCTGTACAGTCCCTCAAAACTATCTAATAATTATCTAATGAAGTAGCTGTGACCATATCTTTTGCTGAACTGATGTATTTTGATTCCCTTCTGTCTGTCCTGAGGCATTTCCCAATCATGAGTTTGAATTTTAATAAGAATGAGGAAGGAAAAACTGTCCCCTGCACACCATACAAATGCTAGCTGCACTGCACATGGCATTTTAATGTGCTGTTCTATAAATGTGGAGAAACATTTAGCTATAGTCGGATAGACACTATCACCCCCTTTGGGGTCACCTCAGGTTGTTCCAAAGGAGACGTTGGTCATTGTGCTTCCAGGAACACAGCTGAACACCTCTCTGTTCCTTTTCAGTCTCCACCATTCACTAAATGCCTATGTTGGGTGTGTGCACATGCAAAAAAAACAGGTACATCCTGAGGGAAGTAGGAGAAGAAATCAGATGTAATTCCATTTGGGCAGAACTTCACACTCCATTTCGCATGCATGATCTCAACCACTTTCTCAGAAATAAGTCTGAATAGTTCAGTGAAACTTTCTAGCAAATAGCTCTATGGAGGAAATTATCTGTGGCCTAGATAAAGAGCTATCAGCTTCAAAACAGTCATGCACAACTAACACAAAAGGTATGTTGTTTTTAAAAAGCAGTCTGTTTCCCACTTAGCAAATTTATATACTGTTAATAGAAACAGGCTGAACATATGTGCAGGAGGAAGAGTATTGACCAATAGCACATTTTTGCAGTTAAGTTTAAGAAAAGCTTTGCTGATCTTCATATTTAGGAACGCATAATCTTTTACACTTCTGCATAACTTTCAGAATTTGGGAAAGAACTATCTTGTGGCCCTGATAACACTATAGTTACAACAACATTATGATAGTATCCAAAATGTAACATTGTTCATGATGGGTAGTTCTTTCTGCTACTTTACACAAACTTACATGTTTATCAACCCAATGCTGTTTTGTGTGCAGTATAAGTTCACCAATGTGGGGGAATGAGTACATGCTGGTGTTTACTTGGTGGTAGCAATAGTTGCAGACACCACATTGCCCCTCTTCCTGTCCATAGTTCCCAAGAAAGGATGGGATCATGTGAAAGGCTTCTAGTGAAGGAAGAATGAAGATGGACTAATGGATCAAGCCTTATCCTCTTCCCTGATGCTTGTCTTGTAATGGGATGGAGCATTTACCATTTTCCCATGGGTACTGATGACTCCAGTATTCATCTGTGATGATAACTCTGCTGGCCAAGCCTACAACTACTGAGAAATTACGTCTCCTCTTAGCCATATAATAACTGAGAGAGATGACTGTTAGGGACTGGACAAGTTAAGTGTAGAGACATTTCACTCTTCTGTAGTATCCAACCTGGAATGCTGCTCTGGAGACAAATGAAAACAAAACGCAGTCTGGTTGCATATATTGTCTACGCTGTTGTCTTAAAACTAGCATGACCATGTTATCAATCTACAGCAGGCAAAAAACCCCGAAAGTGATCAATGTTGTCTAAGTTCTTTATTATTTTGTGCAATGAAAAGCATTACCAGTACAAAACACAGTTAAGGGTATAATTATTTAAAATAATAATAATAATAATAATACTTTATTTATACCCCGCTACCATCTCCCCAAGGGACTTGGTGCGGCTTACATGAGGCCGAGCCCACAATACAATAATACAAGCAATAACAATAGCAATACATGCATTTAAAATAAATCACATCGACAATAACGTAAGCATTGACAATAGTACAAGACACTTTACAATCTATGGCTGGGCCAAATGTAATTAATTTAAAATGATGCTGGTCATGGACGAGATAAGGAAGTGGGGTGTGGTGTCATATCTCTTGAACCCTCATAGTAAAATTATGAAGATAGCTGTGATCAGCCTTTGAAGTCTGGCATTATTGGGATTAATTAATCTAGATTTTGTTGGTAACTGTTGGCAAGAAGTACTTTGGCTCTTGTTTTGACTTCAGACCCTGTGTAATAACCTTAAATATGCAATGCTGAACAAAGTACAAGTGATCATTGAAAAACGGATTCCCTCGCTTTCAAAATTTATATGATGCTAAGGATTATCCAGTGGATAACCACTTTTGCCACCATTTAGGCAAAGACAACACTGAGTAAGTGTTGAATGAAATACGGCAATAAAGTTAATATAAAACCCCTACAAGAGACATACAATTTGTAAAATATTGATCGCTATTTCCGTATGTATACATTTCACTAAAATGAGTTACAACCCTAATTTTATGTCCTAGCTTCATAGAAACATGTCTAAAACTTTGTCAAATAATTGACAAGAGTTTTTAGACACATTGTTGTGAAGCTGGGGCATAACTAGTTGCAAGTCACTTAATGACCTAGTTCAGATAATACAAATAAGAACCACTGGCATATATGCTCAACTGCTCCCAGTAGCAATAGGAGTCACTAAATGTTATTAGCATGCATCCTTGGCTTTGTGTCTTTCCCATGCAATGGCTGGAGCAATTGAGCAATATTCACCAAAGCACTGCTCTTAACTAACCAACAACTAGGGTTCCCCATGCATCTCTGGCATATCATCAACCCTACCCATAATAAATCAGCGGTTGTATCAGGATTTGACACCAAGCCAAATTCCAGTGTTCCATGTGCTTTTGAAACTCCCATATTATTGGTAGGCCGTTCTGTTTCATAACCACAATGGTGTAATTAAGAACTACTTATGGGTAGGTCACCATGCTCTTTGTGGGTGGTTTGTGTTTTGAAGAAGCACACCAAAGTTACTTATGCTGACATACATTGGGTCAAGAATATCTACCATTCTGTCCATATCCTCCTGTTTCTAGTGCATTTTTAACATTTAAAAGATCTAAATACTTTGAGAATGTCACTATTTTAGGCAAATCTAGTATAGACTTGTTAGGAAAAGCAATGTTTCCACTAGATATTCCTCTCCTGAGTTTTCCTCTTCCTTCTCAGAACCAGCACAGGCAAAGACCAAAGCCATAATGTATCTGCTGTATTTTTTCTCTCCCCCACTCAATATGTGACTTGAGTGAGAATTTGGTAATTTCAGTTGATTCAACAACCTCAAAGGATCTCGTCAGCAGTTCTTCTTTCTTGGAACCATAAAAAAGATTTTTTGCCAGTAGACTTGATTTTACATTTATCTGTGATTATCCCTGCACAACCGCAATGGAGTGCTTAGCATATTTGCTCTAAATTTCATTATAGCATGCAACATGGACTTTTCACGAACAGGAGGCTAACCAGCATTCAAGTCACATCCTTGTGTAAAAAGGATGAGATGGCTTGGCCCAAAAGAGCATTGAAGACAATGAGATAATACAAGGTTAACATTTCTTCAGCCCACCATAAAGGTTATTGAAGATCCTAAGAAAGGCCCTAAAATAGTCAACACGAACATGGAAGCATTGCAAGTTTCAGTAAAGCTGAGGGTAATTTTGGAATGATGCGGAAACCTATGTATTTGTTCCCAGTTCTGTTGTTTGAAAAGCTGTGAGATCCAAATATTCTTGATTTCAGCTCCTCAAAGCGAATAGGGATTCTGGAACTTGGAATCCAAATCCACAGAGGATCAAAGGTTGACAACCATTGCCATCAATAATGCATATAAATGATATATAATAAAACAATGCATAAGATATCATTTAGATGTCTTATATATTATTTGGACAGTAAAAAGTGGAGCTTCTATCTAGGAAGACTGGATAATATATTCCAGTAGCATACCTATCAGCATGGTTTTGTACTATGCTTTTTCGAAGGGAGCAAAACATAGTCCAGCTGGAAGCAAATCTTACATACTCAAGATATGTGATTTACATATACTGCAATGGCAGCAAAGTTGTACAGCTTTAATTCTAATTTTGCCACAATCTTCAGATATACACTCGTCTGAGTTTATGCAATAAGCATGTTCGGCTAGATAGCAAGTAGTAACTGATGTGACTCGCACATGTGACATTGGACACATTTTTGACATTTGATATATTGTCTTGGAAGCCAACGCTGCCATGAGTTATGAAAGGAAACAGCATGCAGTCAAACTGGGTGTGAGTCATAATTTTGTCATTTATTAAGTAACATATTTTTAAATAGGAGTATAAAGTTAATCCTCTTGGCTTAAATCAGCCTTCCCAAACCAAGTACCATCTCCATTGGGGATTCTGGGAATTGTGGTGCAACATATTTTAATCCAATCCAATCCAATCCAATAGATCTTTATTGGCATATATATAGCAAAACAGTAAAATAAAACAGTATAAATTGTAAAAAAGGGAACTTCCTATTTGTTTGAAAAACAAAGGCAATAGCATAACTACTCTATGGAGCTCCCATTTGGTTAACCCCTAATAATAGTGCCATCAGATCTTTCCACTCGAAATTCCTCCACAAATTATTTGGCATGCCAAACTACATCCCATATGCAGTTCTATGTCTAGAATCTGGCCAATACTCTATAGAAGTCACTATATTTTTAAAACACCAGGTTTGGAAAAGCAGGGTTATGCCTTACACCTTCTTTCCATGTGTTCAGATGACTCTCCAAAACCTTCCTTTTCAATGCTACCACTAATCAGCTTTGTATTTCAGCACAGCTTCTCAGAATGTATATTGTCTGTGTTGTTTATGCCACTAATTTTTCCTTGTATGTCATTTTTTAAACTTAAGACTTTAAAACTCTGCATAAATAATAAAATACAGATGAGGGAGAGTTGCGAAGAACTTTTTGTAACCCATTATGCCAAACATTTGCATTATCATTAACTGGCACATAGTTCTTTAGTTCACTTCTAAATGTGTAGTACTTAAACTGAAAACAAATTTTCCTTTTATCCCCATTATTTTCAATTGCCACTCAAGGTACTTCTATTTTTTCAGTGTGCATCAAGTTTTCTTTGTAATTAGTGTTTTAAGTGACTCATCACTGGTTAGATTAATTAAAGACCTTTTGATCAACCAAAAACAGACCCTTGCAACAAAACAACTGAACACATCCCATTAATTTCTAAAAATACAAATACTTATAAAATTACAGGATAGGAATCATTTTGAAAATCAACTGGACATGAAAGAAGACTCAATGCTTCCTGAAAGCTCAAGGGAAAAACAAAACAATTAAATTATTTGAGGAGACATTTATAATTTGAGACAACTTTTTCAAATGGAATGAAGTCCACAAATAAAGTTATTGTACTGAAACTATTTTTATCACAAGTACCTGCTGTTCAAATAATTTTAAAAATACCCAATTTATGGTTGCTTTCAACATGAATGCATATTTTCAGTCCTGTAAATTCTTTTGCCCATACATACAATGTTACAAGAATGCAATCTAAAAACACTACCTTGAATTTACATATATTCAATTAAAAGCATTGCTTAGTGTTGTCACTTACAAAAACTAGTACTCCTCCCATAACCAGTTAAAAACATAAAGCTGTTTTGCCGGGTTGAGATGACTAGAACAGCAAAGAAGATATTACTATCAGGTTAGTTTTAAAGCACAACCCAATAGCATTTACTTAGAAGTTTGTGTATGTTTAATGAAAAAGCTTATGAGCTTTAACATTTACATAATATTTTCCATATTTTAATGGGTCTAATAAAGGCATTGCTACAGTGTGTTTTGGGAAATAAATCCCAGATTGATAAACTGCACACTCTCTCAGCCTTTGAGGCAGACGTGGAACCCCTTCTGTACAAATCTTCCCAGAAAAACCCTGTGAAAGGTTTGCCTACAACAAAAAGAGAGTATACTGTTTTTGGAGGGGGGAGCAAAATACATATTTTATAATTATAAAGTAATTTTTCATTGAATTTCATTTTTGAAGGACAGAGCTCTAAAGTTAGACTTTAAGATTCTGCATAAATAATAAAATACAGATGAGGGAGAGTTGCAAAGAACTTTTTGTAACCCATTATGCCAAACAGTTAACAGTGAGTTGCTGTGAGTTTTTTGGGCTATTAAGGGTGCATTAAAAAAAAGGGGGGGGGGGATCCCAGAATTATAAACTGTTAAAAGAATATGAAATTTTTCAGAATAAAATCCCCAAAAGAAAGCCCTTAGAATTATGAACTGTTTGGGATATTTATACCCTGCTTTTCCCTACCCCAAGGGGAACTCAAGACAGCTTACATATGTCAATTGTTTAATGCCTTATATAGACACCAGAAGTGACTTGCAATTTCTCAAGTCGCTCCTGACATGACCAAAAAAAAAAAAAGACACAAAACAAATCTAGAATTATAACCTGTTAGGCGTACAGTCATCTCTCCAGATTCTCTGAGGTTAGGGGCACAGACTCCAATAATAATAAAAAAGAAAAAGCACAATTTTTAAAATTTACCCTGAGAAAATATCTCGAGAAATGTCTCAATCTTGCAGCATGATTATATGTATGGTCAACTTCCACTGGAAGCTAACCATAGAATTGCATTGGAGGACATACAAAGCCCGAGAGGCATTCTTTCTAGAAATCCCTTCCAGAATGACAGAACGAAGTTGACTATTGTGTTACATGGGAAGACCTACAAATTTCTAGAGACAATATTTTAATCAAATCCGGAAAAGCCAAAACTCCAAAAGTCTGAGATGACTCTAAATCAGGCATGGGGCAAACTTGAGCCCTCCAGGTGTTTTGGACTTCAACTCCCACAATTCCTAACAGTCTCAGGCCCCTTCCTTTCCCCCCTCACCCACTTAAACGAAAAGGATGGGAAAAAGAAAAGGGCCTGAAGCTGTTAGGGAAAAGGAAGGGAAAAGGAAGGGAAAAGAAAGGGGCCTGAGGCTGTTAGGAATTGTGGAACTTGAAGTCTAAAACACCTGGAGGCCCCAAGTTTGCCCATGCCTACACTATATACATGTAGGTGGAAAACTTCAGAGTTAATAACAGCTAAATATTTAAACATCTTTTGAGGGAAAATGAATTCCCCATTACAAACTTTTACAGGATATATATATATATATATATATATATATATACACACACACACACACACACACACACACACACACACACATAGATATACAACCAAAAGTTTCCATATATAGGAAACAAATACAAAATGAATACATATTACATTGTATTCATTTTGACTTCCTGTGTGTATAAACAAGGGATCAATATGTAGAGAATATTTTGTACAATTGTGTAATGAATCGTTTGTGAATAAAGGTAAATTCAGCTACAATTTCCCATTTTCCCTACGTATGGAGACTTATGGAACGCAATGAATCTATATTTATTTATATATATATTTGTGGAGGAGGGGTCACCCCATATATCTTCTCAAGGTTTGATCCCAAGCCCCTCCCAGTGAAACTCCCCTCACCTCGAAATAGGAAACAGAAGTAGCTCTAAAAGGCTTTGTAAACCTTTCTTTTCCACTTGGCTCACAGCTCTGCGAAGTCCCGAGTTTATGCCTACTTTTGTTCCGCGAAAGCGTTCACGTTTCCTCCGCGGCGTCAAAACGATCCCTGGAACTTCCGGTCCGGGCAAGAAGCTATATGTCTGTCACGTTACAGTTTGCCCTGTGTCCGTGCTTTAGCTTCTGCCCTGAAGAAAGATGGCGGCCGCCCACTTCCTGTTCGGCGATTCTTCCTACAGGGAACATGGTAACCTTTGCCGTTCCGACCAGGGTTTTTTGACTTATGATTCCTGCGCTTAGAGTTGTAAGTACTTTCACATAAAAGGTTTGACTCCGGATTGGGCAGTTTCTTCTTTCCCCCTTTTTAAAGCTTCCTTTGGAGGTTTTCTCTGCATTTCTTTCCCATTTTTAAAGCCTATACAAGCTTCCTGACGTTTCCTACGCGTTGTTTATTTATTTTCAAAACAACGTTGAAGGGATCTACTTACATAACCTGAACTCCCATGAAAGGTTTTCATTTGGCATAGGTTTAATATACTGGACTCTATTTTAATTTAATTTTTTGCGGTTTTATTGCCAGGCTCTTGCTACTGTACATTTATTGTCTTTGCAGAGATGTAACACACAGGATGCCAAAGTCTCAAGTGTTTAAATAACAGAATAAAAATGCTTTACTGTGTGGACGTTTCAAAAAGAAAAAAAGTAGTTTAAAACACGGCAAATAGGCAATGGCCATAAAATTGAGTCATTGAGCAGAGAGTAAACGTTAGGGTTTTCCGCACTACGTATATGTATCTCCATAATTGTGTAAGCTATCATACTGCAACCATAGGACATTCTAGTTGATTATCATAAAGAAACAAACATTAAAGGCTATTTGTAACAAAAAATACAATTTAATAAGAACAATCCAATGGGTTGTTGTTGTTCATTCGTTCAGTTGTTTCCGACTCTTTGTGACCTCATGGACCAGCCCACGCCAGAGCTCCCTGTCGGCCGTCACCACCCCCAGCTCCTTCAAGGTCAGTCCAGTCACTTCAAGGATGCCATCCATCCATCTTGCCCTTGGTCAGCCCCTCTTCCTTTTGCCTTCCCCTTTCCCCAGCATAATTGTCTTCTCTAGGCTTTGCTGTCTCCTCATGATGTGGCCAAAGTACTTCAACTTTGTCTCTAGTATCCTTCCCTCCAATGAGCAGTCGGGCTTTATTTCCTGGAGGATGGACTGGTTGGATCTTCTCGCAGTCCAAGGCACTCTCAGAACTTTCCTCCAACACCACAGTTCAAAAGCATCTATCTTCTTTCGCTCAGCCTTCCCTATGGTCCAGCTCTCACATCCGTAGGTGACTATGGGGAATACCATTGCTTTAACTATGCGGATCTTTGTTGCCAGTGTGATGTCTCTACTCTTCACTATTTTATCGAGAATGGACATTGCTCTCCTCCCAAGAAGTAAGCGTCTTCTGATTTCCTGGCTACAGTCTGCGTCTGTATCTTTGCACCTAGAAATACAAAGTCTGTAACTGCCTCCACGTTTTCTCCCTCTATTCCCAGTTATCAATCATTCTTGTTGCCATAATCTTGGTTTTTTTGATGTTTAACTACAACCTAGCTTTTGCACTTTCTTCTCTCACCTTGGTTAGAAGGCTCCTCAGCTCCTCCTCACTTTTGAAAAATGTACTTGTAACATATTAGATGTTACCACTTCTTAGACTATGTAATGATGCATGCCAGAGACTGCTGCAACGGGCTTCTCACAAGAGTCATGACAAGGGCTGCTGGCTGCTGCACAGATCACAGGTTAATTCAATCCATGTTGGCCATCAAGATGGCCCCCAAACGCAGACTCCATGGAAGAAAGATAAGACATAAAATGAACACCCAAGCAGTGTTGAACACTGCTTGAACACCTAGCACAAAGTAGCTGCACATAATATTTATTTATTTATTTATTTATTTATTTATTTATTTTATCGTGTCATCAGCAACCATTGTATTACAATTCTAACAGAGCAAAACAAACACACAGATTAAAAAGAAAAAGGAAAAAACACACAGATTTTGCAAATTTGGTATTTGGTTAAATGTCCTTTGACCAGTATCTGGCCACTTGGAGTGCCTCTGGTGTTGCTATAAAAAGGTCTTCCATTGTGCATGTAGCAGGGCTCAGGTTACATTGCAGCAGATGGTCTGTAGTTTGCTCTTCTCCACACTCACATGCCGTGGATTCCACTTTGTAGCCCCATTTCTGAAGGTTGGCTCTGCATCTTGTGGTGCCAGAGTGCAGTCTTTCAGCACCTTCCAAGTTGCCCAGTCTTCTGTGTGCCCAGGGGGGAGTCTCTCATTTGGTATCAGCCATTGATTGAGGTCTGGGTTTGGGCCTGCCACTTTTGGACTCTCGCTTGCTGGGGTGTTCCAGCGAGTGTCTCTGTAGATCTAAGAAAACTATGTCTTGATTTAAGTCGTTGACGTGCTGGCTGATACCCAAACAGGGGATGGGCTGGAGATGTCTCTGCCTTGGTCCTTTCACTATTGGCTGCTACTTCCCGGCGGATGTCAGGTGGTGCAATACCGGCTAAGCAGTGTAATTTCTCCAGTGGTGTGGGGCGCAGACACCCTGTGATAATGCGGCATGTCTCATTAAGAGCCACATCTACTGTTTTAGTGTGGTGAGATGTGTTCCACACTGGGCATGCACTCAGCAGCAGAGTAGCATAGCGCAAGGGCAGATGTCTTCACTGTGTCTGGTTGTGATCCCCAGGTTGTGCCAGTCAGCTTTCATATGATGTTGTTTCTAGCGCCCACTTTTTGTTTGATGTTCAGGCAGTGCTTCTTGTAGGTCAGAGCACGGTCCAAGTGACTCCCAGGTATTTGGGTGCGCTGCAATGCTCCAGTGGGATTCCTTCCCAGGTAATCCTCAGAGCTCGGGATGCTTGTCTGTTCTTAAGGTGAAAGGCACATGTCTGTGTTTTAGATGGATTAGGGATCAGCTGGTTTTCCCTGTAATAGGCAGTAAGAGCACCTAGAGCTTCGGAGAGCTTCTGTTCTACCATCTCAAAGCTCCCTGCTTGAGCAGTAATGTCACGATCATCAGCATAGATGAAACTCTCTGTCCCTTCTGGCAGTGGCTGGTCATTTGTGTAGATGTTGAACATGGATGGAGCAAGCACGCTCCCCTGAGTCAGGCCGTTCTTCTGTTTCCGCCATCTGCTTCTCTGGCCCTGGAACTCAACAAAAAAGCTCCTGTTTTGTAGCAGGTTTCCTATGAGGCGGGTGAGGTGGTCGTCCTTTGTGATATTATACATTTTTCTCAGGAGGAGGCGGTGGTTCACAGTATCATAGGCTGCTGACAGGTCTATGAAGACAGCTCCTGTGATCTGCTGCCTTTCAAAGCCATCTTCTATGTGCTGAGTCAGGTTCAGCACTTGCAAAGTGCAGCTTTTGCCTTTCCTGAAGCCAGCTTGCTGTGGGATCAGACAGGGTCTATTTTTTCCATAATTCTATGCAAAATAAGTCTCTCCAGAACTTTGTAGAGGTGGCACAACAGGGAGATTGGTCTGTAGCTTTTTGGGTCATTACAGTCTTTGCCTGGCTTCAAGATGGCGATGACTCTTGCTTTCCTCCAGATTTTGGGGATCTGACAGGATGCAGTGCAGTTGTTCATCAGCTCCAGCAGCCAGCGCCTTGCTTTTGGACCAAAGTTCTTGATTTGTTCCATCCGTAGATCATCCAAGCCAGCTGCTTTGCCATTCTTACATTTGTTGAGAGCCATGTCCAATTCAGTAGATGTAAAGGGTTCATGAAGGTTGTTGTTCTCAATCTCTTGTTGTCTGGCTATTGGTTTCTTTCCTACTTTGGTGGCAAGGTTGGGTTTCCCGTTCTTCAAGAGTTGGTGTGCTATCTGATCTGCCTTTATGTTGGCATGGGTATTAGTTTGTGAGGGGTCACTGCTCAGCCGTCTTAGCAACCTCCACGCCTTCTGGCTGCTCCTGCCCATGTCGACCTCTGTGATCAGCTTGATCCACTGTTCTTTCTTGGCTTCAGAGATGGAGGACACAATGCTCTGCGCTGCCTGAAGAGTTTGCTCACTAAATGGGTCTTCGTTGTGGAGCCTGTAATAGTTTTCCAACAAGGCAGCTGTTTCAGGAGTAATGCCCTGAAGGTAGTGGGTTCTGCAGCCTCTCGGTATAGAGGCCCGTGAGCAGGTTTTCACTATTTCAATAAAATGTTCGTATTCCTCAGGGATTGGCACAACCGATGTGATCATGTCATCTAACATGTCTGCACGTAATAATATCCTGTGGAAACTTACTGGCAGCACATGGGGTGCAGACCCAAAATTAGCCTTGTCTTACTCAACTACCAAGTATTCCTGCCCTGTTTGGCATAGGTCTGCCCATGCAAAGCAGGTGAACCTACAAGCCACTTTAAACACCTTTGCAGAAGCATACAAAAAGCTTGGCTTTTCACTGAACATCAAGAAAACCACAGTGCTGTACCAGCAGACATCAACCAATCCCTCTTCAATTCCAGAAATACATATTAATAGTGTAATGTTAGAAAATGTTGACCATTTTCACCAGTTTAGTAGCCACTTCTCCACAAAGGTCAACATTGACACCGAAATACAATACCGTCTGAGCTTTGCGAGTGCAGCATTTTTTCAAATGAAACACAGTATTGGGGACATTTGTAGGGATACCAAGATGCCTGCTTATAAACTATTGTCCTCTCAACTCTGCTACATGCCTGAAAAACATGGACCATCTACAAGCATCACTCTCAACTTCTGTAACAAATCCATCAGTGTTGCCCCCAAAAAATCCTGCAAATCTCTTGGGAAGACAGATGGACAAATGTCAGCATTCTGGAAGAAGCAAAGACCACCAACACTGAAGCAATGATCCTCCACCATCAACTTCGCTGGACTGGCCACATTGTCCGAATGCTCGATCACCATTTTCCAAAACAGTTACTTTACTCTCAACTCAAGAACAGAAAACAGAATGTTGGTGGACATCAAGAGAGGCTGAAAGATAGACTTAAAGCTAACCTTTAAAAACTCTGGCATAGACAGCGAGAACTGGAGAGCCCTGGCCCTAGAGGTCCTCACTGTGAAAGAACATTCGGATTGAGAATAGGTCTCTATAGTCATTTATGGACCCACCACCAAGACTCTTGGAAGGCAATCATACTCGGTCATGACTCAGCCAAAGTGGCTCACATTCTGTAGAGGCTACTTGCATTGCATTTAAAAAAAAACCTTTCCAAAAATTTTCATTTTTTCCTTGGAGTTTTATTTTTCTACTTACAGCTATAATGATCTGAAAGTATTAGAAAGGGATTAGAAAGATAGGTAGTTTCATAGAAAGGAAAAAAAAATACTATTTTTGCAACACTAGGGTTATGTTTTCATTAGAGCTTTTAATGCTTTGAAATTTCAGACAAAGGTGACTTCCTGTTCTTTCTTTCTCAGAATGGATGCCAGAGATAAGCAGGTCCTGCGCTCATTGCGCTTGGAACTATGTGCAGAACTGCTGGTGGAAGGCCTTGTCATACAGTACCTTTACCAAGAAGGTATCCTGACTGAAAGTGATGTGCAAGAAATAAGAGCCCAAGTCACCAACCAGAGGAAAACCATGATGCTTCTTGACATCCTACCTGCCAGAGGCCCCAAGGCTTTTGAAACTTTTTTAGAATCATTACAAGAATTCCCGTGGGTGAAAGACAAGCTTGAGGCAAAACGTAATGAGGTGATGCTGGTGGCACCCATTGGTAAGGTTTAAACTATTTATGACTTTGGAATGTCTGCCATGCTGTTGATTGAAAAGCTGCATTTATAAACCCTGGCCAAATCTAGGCTTCTGTTACATGATTCATCACCATTCCTGAGTTGTTGTTCTAAAAGGTGCTATTTGGCATGTGTTTTCTTACCCAGTATTCAATAGATAAAGTGTGCCTTATGGGGGACATTGAACCCAGCAACGTGTAACTTTCATGTCAGTGTGTCAATGAATCCAATTCTGGTTTCAGTCGCAACTTAAAATGCACTATCAATTATTTATTTATTTATTTAAAACATTTATATTCCACCCTTCTCACCCCGAAGGGGACTCAGGGCAGAGCACAGCATATATACAGCAAACATTCCATGCAGGGACAAGAATTCGTTATATGCATACATAAACATTAAAAAACATTTATTTCAATATTAAAATACACTGTTCAAAACCGTCTTGTTCATCTGCGTCAAATCTAATTGGCCTGCTAAAATTTCCTATCGCTGCTTTATTGCACTGTCCCGAAAGCTTGGTCCCACAGCCAAGTTTTTACCATCCTTCTGAAAGACAGGAGGGAGGGGGCTGATCTGATCTCACCAGAAAGGGAGTTCCATAGCGAGGGGGGCAATCATCGAGAAGCCCCTCTCTCTCGCCCCCACCAATCATGCCTGTGACAAATGGCGGGATGGAGAGCAGGGCCTCCCCGAAAGATCTTAATCTCTGCGATGGTTCATAGGGGGAGATGCGTTTGGACAGGTAAATTAGGCCGGGGCCATTTAGGGATTTATAGGCCAAAGCCAGCATTTTGAATTGTGCCCAGTAGCAAACTGGCAGCCAGTGGAGCTGGCGTAACATGGGAGTTGTATGCTTCCTGTATGCTGCCCCAATTATTAACCTGGCTACCTCTTGTTGGACTATTTGAAGTTCCCGAGCAGTCTTCAAAGGCATCCCCATGAAGAGTGCATTGCAGTAGTCTATCCAGGATGTAACGAGAGCATGGACCACCGTGCTGAACTTTATTCCCAAAATATGTGCAGCACTTTGGATAGTTTCTTCAACGTGTGGATGAAAACCCAAAGTGGATTGAGCCCTTCCCTCTGATATTGAATCCTCCAGCATTTAATCATTTCCTCAGCAATTGCAATCTGGACAAAAATGCCCCACGTATGACATTAGTGTTAGAAAAGTGAAGAAGCTGTCCGTAGGACCTTTTCTTACTGGTTTGCTATACATGGTATGAGGTTTTTTCTCAAGTTAGTACCAAAAGAAAGAAGAGTTAAATTTCCCCCTTGGCACATAGTAAATTTGCTGAAAACTGGGACACCTCAGCCAAATAATTAACCACATGATGAATGAAAGACTGAGTTTAGTTTTTACACCTTTCTGAAGGAGGAGGGCTGATGCTGCACCAGTTTAGGCCACTTATGCAACCAACTACTTCTCTCTTTTTTAAAAAACAAACAAACAACCAAACCTAGTGGTCAAAACCTAATGGTCAAAATGAAGATTCCTGCTTCACCAGCATGACATTGTTTTCCTAAGGCCTGACAAATATGTATTCTCAGAGCGGCACCTAGGTTATTGAACTCATTGCTCTACGGGATCTTTTTGGGTCACCACTGTGTTACAATTCTCTACCTTTGTGAAGGCCTTTCTTTTTGTTGTTGTGAACTATTGTCAAATCATCTTCAACTGATAGTGACCCTATGAATGAGAGACCTCCAAAGCACTATACTATCAACAGTCCCTTCTCAGTTCTTGCAGATTCAAGGGTGAGAGGCATTTGGAGAGAGAAGAGTATTTCGCACAATTTGAGAAAGCTCAGTTTTTTCAGGTCATAATGCAGAGGCAGATGGAGCAAAACAGTTAACAACTTTGAGACCCAGTGCTGTGTTATGTTAAAATGTTAGTCAATCTTAAAATATAAAATGTTTAAAAAACTTTTTTAAAAGAATTCATAATGGAATATTTAAAGAGCCACAAAACCCTGCTTACCTGAGCTTGGAATGAGCTTAGAATTGTCCGAATTCAGTGAAACGATGTTCTGAAAACAACATTCCTTTTAATGTACCTTTTGATTGTTTGTTTGGCTTGGATGACCTCCCCAGCCTTTTAGATAATGGTTCCACCTTTTCTCGGTTGCAGTATGCAATCTGTTCACTCCGGACAGTAACAAGACAAATTGGATGACCTTCAGTTATGGCACGGTTGGCAGTCTCCCTGATTTTATGAAAACAGTTGTAATTCTAAGTTAGGTCAATTCCAAGTGATCTATTGATTATGCCAGATAGCCTAACCAGAGTTGTATTGTGTTTAAATTATACTATTTAGGATAAAACACTTAGGGTTTTCAGACTGCTAACTTGCCTACTTCTGCTGACTGGAGGGTTGTAGAAACTGCAAACTCAAAAAGTAATTTTTTCTAAAGTATTTTAAAGACTATTGATAATCCTATTTTCATTGGCCTAATTCCCTTTTAAAGGTATATTGAACATTTAGCTATTACAGTTTGCCAGCATATTGATACTGACTTTTGTAACTGTCTTTTATGTGTACTGTACACCGCCATGAGTCGCCCGTAAGGGCTGAGAATGGCGGTTAATAAATGAATCAAATAAATAAATAATAAATAATATTCTTGCCTTCAGTTGTGTGGATATTACACAATATTCCATCAGAGGCTGACCATAGAGTAATGCTAGAGGACCTAAAAGTCCTAGCAATATATTCTATAAGGTAAAATACAGAGGTTTTTTATTTATAGTTTTTCTGTTGCTGTTCAGGAGATTCTACTCTATTTTCTGTCCCTGGTGTAATTAGATTTTGAAAGTTTTTGCTTGTTGGAGAAACAAGGATTGGTGATAAAGCTTCAGTTGAGACACCTTTTCCCCATGGTAAATCTTTCAGGATTCAGAATTTCCCTTCCTAGGAGATTTCTCTCACTTCCTGTTGTCTCAGCTCTGTTCTTGACTATGAGTCGTTTGTAAGTTGGGTGTCTGTAACTTGGGGACAGCCCGTATATGAAAGAAGCTAATGCCATTGCTGTAGAAAGTAGATTTTTTTCCTTTCACTGACAAAAAAGAATGGAAATCCACCAGATCTTCATATTCAGAAAAAAAAATTGAAAACAAGCAAGAGAAAACCCTTTAATGAGTTTATAGTACTATGTACAATACTTTTGAATCTGTATCCTCATTTCTTTTAAGGTTATGTGAGGACACTCTCCTTGATTGTTTCAGCAGTGAGAGAACATTGCCACTGGTGCATAGCCATTTACTGAGTGTATCTGATGCTCACAGAGGCGTATTTCACATAGCACCTATTTGTGCAGTGGGAACATTTGCTCCCTTTGGGATTACACGTATGTGCTTGTGTGAATGAGTGCCAGATAAATGCAGTATTGCTCAGAATGCCATTCAAGTCCAAAGTCCAGTCCTGCGGTATAAAACCACCTGTGGATATACCAAAATTCACCAAGATTGATTGTTTCCTGTAGCACCTTTTTCTTACTTAATATTTAAATTAAGATATACTTTATTATATCATATTAATTTTTAATAATAAATAATCAATTTCCGTGACAATATTATGGTTATACCCAAGAAAATCCATCTCGCATCCAAGTATCACATTCCACTTTATTCCTGCAGTTGTGATGACACTTTAAGTTGCTTTAAAGCAACAACTTATATATGCTCAGACTATTTCTTCATTGTCAGACTTAGCAAACATGGATTTTGTTTTGTTCTTGTTCCAGCATACCAAGAATGTATGCCCTTACAGCAAAATACTTTTCTGGAAATGTGGGAAGCTTGCTGTTGGCAGGAAACAAAAATACTAAACACAAGGGACTGCTGAAGCTTCTTTCCCTCTTTAGTCTAATGAAGTGTTTCTCAACCTTTCTAATGCTGTGACTCCTTAAATACAGTTCCTCATGTTGTGGTGACCCCCAGCCATAAAATTATTTTCTTTGTACTTCATAACTGTAATTTTGCTACTGTTATGAATCGTAATGTAAATATCTCATATGCAGGATGTATTTTGACATTTAGGAATTGTAGCTGCTGGGATTTATAGTTCACCTACAATCAAAGAGTTTTCTGAACTCAACCAATGATGGAATTGAACCATACTTGGCACACATAACTCCCATGACCAACAGAAAATACTGAAAGGGTTTGGTGGACATTGACCTTGAGTTTTGGAGTTGTAGTTCCCCTCATCCAGAGAGCACTGTGGACCTAAACAATGATGGATCTGGACCAAACTTGGCACAAATACTCAATATGCCCAAATGTGAACACTGGTGGAGTTTGGGGTAAATAGACCGTGATATTTTGGAGTTTTTTTTTTTTGAATTTTCATATACCATAACATACATAATGATATATCTTGGGGATGTGACCCAAGTCTAAATATGTAATCAATTTATATTTCATATATGCCTTATGTCTATAGCTGAGGTTAACCTGATATGCAATATTTTACATAATTTTGCGCATGAAATAGCAGAAAGCAAGCATGTTGCTATTTCAGCCACCCATGTGGACAATTTTGGATTTTAGAGCATTTTAGATATCCAGATAAACTGTGTTACACAAACAGAGTGAGTTCTATTCAGCCGAATTTGTCTGGTTTAAGACTACATTTATCTAGTTAAAATACTTGAGTTGAAGCTGCTATATTGTAGATGAGATTGGACTTGTCCCATGCTGTTTGAGTGGCCAAATTTAGAGAAACGTAACATTTTTATAATGGTTCAAATATCAAAAAGCGTGAAAAAATGTGTGACCTTTTTGATTTTGTAATGCCCCCACCCTGCCTCTTGGCTTGTTTCAGCCTTTTCATCATACTAAACCTATTTAGAAAATTGTAGCTATAAATGAGAAAAGACCCCTGAGCTTTTTCCATCTTGTTTGAGATGTTAAACTGATACGTTTTACCTTGTGACTATAAAAAGCATTTTCATGTCAAATGCTAGCCAACCACACAGTA